GAAAATCTATGGAAAAATGTCTAAATACAGCAATTCATAAGAAAATTATGAACACTTCAGGCATTCATGACGGCAAACTGGCCAACAGTGTCCGTGTATCACGTGGTAAGCATGCGTGATGCATCTAGACCAGCGGGCACTAAAGTGAGCAGAACAACCTCAAATTTCTCACGAACACAGAAAATACATACATAAATAAGAGACCAAGTTCTGTGAATTAACTTGCTGAAAACTTCTTGCAACATAGCAATCGATATCTTTCCGGCCTGAAACGTACAGCTGATGAAGAGTGGTTATGTACAGCACATTCAGTACAAGTACAGTACAGACTGGTACTGATTGCTACATTTGCATGACGCATTCTTTTTCATGGGTGCGGCGCAGCGGGAACCAGAGCAGCTACGTTTAATGGATAGAGTTTCGCGCACGTGTTTTCACAGTGGGACAGCACGCAAAGAATTGTAAGGGCGATTTCATGTCTGTGCGTGGCGCTAGGTGACAGGTGATGAGCGATCAGCCTGATTAATGTCTTGGGCGTAATTCTAACACAAAACTAATAATAAATCGGATGCCATAATCCCAAATACTGTGTTGATATTTTAAGAGCTGTTATTGACATGTTGGTCAGACAATTTGTCCGAGCATTTTTTTATTTTGTTCGGACAAACACAATAAGTGCTCGGAGTTCGAAAAATGTCCGATGTCCAACCGTAATTTCACACTCCGATTGTTATCCTTTTCTTCGAGCCATCTCCACTGAAATTTATCCTTGACATATCTTTCAATGTCTTGAAGATCCTCGTTTCTGTTGACAATTAGATGCTGCATTTTGTTGGCCCTCGAGCATGAAGTCGATCCATGCATGTTGATCATCCAACGTACAGTATAATGTACGTTCGTTGTGTATGTTCATGCATCGCACATGAGGCATGAGCATGCATTGAGCTAGTACCCGTTAAAGGTCAATATTTCAACGTATTTCCAGTCACTGACAACACCACTCAACACTGTCCTTCGTATTTCGCGCCACAATGACTGACGTAAGCACTCTATACTGCCGACTACGCTCAAGATTAAATACCCAGTCGCGTGTCGCAGGATACACGTGCATCATAGATTTGCTTCCAGTCTTTTCTTCTTTATTTAATTCTGTCAATTTTAAAAACATTGAAGGGGGAAATGTAAAAAAAATCGGATTTGGGAGAAAAATACCAAAAAGTCAGATTTCCGATTAAAATTGGAAAAGAGGCATCTGTGACTTACACAGTGATGAAGAACCTCGGAGAAATTGTTTCAAGAACCTATCTATATCTGCAGGCTTTCAATGTCTCATGTACTCTATACAGATATTTAGACAACTATCCCACAATGCATGTAATCTAAGCTGACAAATTTTGGCCACACAGTGGTAAAATACTCAGTTTTACTTACTGCTCTTTCTGTGTAATCAACTTGTACATCTTCTTTCTTGGCATTTTTGATCATCAGTGTGATGACTACACTGGAATCAGTCTGGTACCAGTCATACCTGTTAAAAGAAAAGGGAATGTCAAATCAAGTACTTAATACAGCCTGACCTGTTTAACGTACACCTGAGACTTATGTGGATTCAAACAATCTCGACAATTTTTTCAATAATTCATGTACTTGTGTATTGCTCCTTTCTCAATGTGACCTGACTCTGTATCCATGTACATGTAGCAAGCAACAGGGACCCTGTTTGGCCTTACAATTTCTTCCAACAGAGCCATGCAGTCATGTGACTGCCAATGGAGTGCTTAATGGAGTGCTCCCATACATGTAGGCTTCACTTCAGAGGTTTGTCTGGAAGCAAAGGGGTTGAAATCAACGGTAGTCCACTGGCCAGTAGAGAATTCTGCGGACCAGCTGATCTAATAAAACTGGTAGTCCATTGCACCGTTGCAAAATGTACTATATATAATAAAGTATTAAAGAATTTAAAAAAAGATCAGTGTACTTATTACCCCGAATTAGTAGCGCAGTGGATGAAGTTATATTTTCGCGTGCTGTGTGTACCTAGCTATGTGGCATGAGAACGATCCAAATTTGCCATATGTGCGCACAACGCACTGAGCTACCCGAGGGCGTTTTCGAAACAAGTGGATTCAGCTTAGACTTTGGTTTCGTTGGTTCCAGTCAGAGCTTAAACATGGCAGGTTATGGACCATTAGATAATTTTCAACTTTGGGGGTTCATTTTTCCTGAAGTGAACAGCAGTGAATTAATTTTCAATGTCTAATGTAATGAGGGAAGTCATGGCTGATATATGGAACAATGATGACTGTGTCCATCTTTCAACTTAATTGAAATTACTTAATTAAAGTCTCAAACGTCAGCATTTTTGACGAACATGAACAACCTGTTGAAATCCTAGCCAATAAAATTTACCGAAGAGTGATAATCCCCGCGGTTATTTTACACAGATTTATATGTGGTGAAAGGTGATAACAGTTACACGTATTAAAACCACAATCATGAAATTAAAAAATACCTCTCACAATTACTTGGATCCCAAAGCCAGCAGTCACAAATGTCATTTGATTCTGTCAAAAAAATAGACTGCAAAAAACAGCCAATAAAATCAGAATCGATGTACAACACAAGCTTTAAAAAAGTGCAAAAAAGCACCCCCAAACCATCGTTTTACGACTGGACTGATCACATTTTCTTCAAGTACATGTACGTTTCCAAAAACCACAGTCCAAAATACTGATCATGGAGATTGTACAGCTTCCATCATTATCTCTAAGTGACGTTAGAGCAGCGTTTTAGCTAGCGAGCCATGCAGCCGTGTTTTGCATGGCCAGTTTTGTGAAATCACGGCTCATTTTTCAAGCACGGCCTCGCAGTGCAAATCAAGCGTGCACTACTTAATTTGAGTCTTGTGTAATCTAGATCCAAAAAATTGTGAAAATAAAATCTGAGATAAAATTCAGTCTTTTTCTATGCTTTTTCCCGGCCCCATCAAACAAGTGCAACATAGAAAATATGCTGCAGTAAAGTACATGTATGCTGGGACTACGGTTCGGACATTTGGTTCGAATGTTTCAACGCCGGCAGGCGGGTTCCCTTACTTACAAATAGTGAACTAAAGCACAGTATCTATGAACCTGTAACAAATTAAATACATGGAACCATACTTGTTCACCAGCAAACAATCGTACATGTAATCAACCTCATTCCCATGGCAATCGTTAGCCACCATATTGCGCCCACTCTCGCACGAGGTAGTCCATGGGGAGGAGGTTGACATATAATTGTTTCGGGGTTTACCCTGCATGTTCACTATATCATCCAGAAGGAAACGAAAACTAACAGAATTTCTTCTCAAAGGCAAGGGCTGGCCTACACGCAATCTTTGATATTGTCAATAATCAGCATAAAGCTTGTTTAGGTTCTTCTACCTTAACGATGGAAAAAATGGTTGAACTCTTCCGATGCCATGTTCAGACTCATGCACAAGAAAGCGCGAGCACGTGGCCTGCCTGTGGTGTACATGGATGCGTGTATAGTGTGCATGTATACGCACTATGCATGTACGACATGTGTTTTGTTATCAACATTGAAGTCGAGTCTTGTACTCAATTCGCTTGTTCTTAGCCAAATTGCTGAAGGAAACATGTATGTAGGAATACTAAGATTCATTTTATATCATTATTTATTTTTGTTTGCAAATCACATAATAATCTGTATGAACGGTATTGCAAACAAGAAGGGAGAAAAAAGTTTGTCAAGTACTGACCTGCATTATTACCTGCACACCATTTTTTAAAAACAAAATGAAGAGGTTATGAGAAATCTGTTCAAAGGTGTTTGTCATTCACTTCTTTGTTGCAGGGCTGTTTCATATTATACATGTATAAAACAACAATTGCACACAGTTTTACAATTTTTTTTTCTAAAAGCTGTTATTTTTTTGTTTGAAAAGGCTAAACTCTCAGAAATGTCAGAAATTCATCAGAGATCACCAGAAAGCATCTCAAACAGGCATAACTTCCAGGACCCTTACACAGGCCCTGGATCCTGGCTGTAAGGCACAAATTTTGGACTCTAACAAGATTAAACTCCCTGTTTTTCATTTAGCACTCCCACTTTTCAAATCCTAGCTAAAACACTGCGTTAGCATGGTTAGAGAAATGTTTCGCTGCATTGTGGGCCGTTTGATCTTTGACATCAATCCAGATAGTGCACCCTCTTTTTCAATTGATATTCATGAGCCCCTCCATGGAATGGCAATGCTCTGGGATTTTTCTCTTCGTACTAAGGTTTCTCAAAAGAAAATTAATCATAACGAATGACGTTCATAAAAAAATGACATCCGAGACATAAAATACGACTCGTGATGAAAAAAGTGTTCTGAGTTGTTGATTTTTATGTAATTTTCAGCGGGGATATCTCCAAAATAAGCGGCAAAATGAACACCGTGCATGGAATTTTCGTGCACTAGGCCTATACTTTAGGCTATATCATGACAGCATGTTCTGCATTCTCGAACGTCGTGCATTTTTTGTCAAAATTCTCGAGCCTCATCAAAATTTTGTCATATATGAAATTCACAACTAACATATTGCACTCATTACACAATTTTGATGCAGCCAAACTCAAAAAGATTATTTTCGGTGGTTGAAAGGTATAAAAATATAACAACTAGCAAATACTGAAATAGAGCCTTCAAAGGCAACATGTATGCCGGTCCATATTTTGAGGAACTTGCCCTAGCCTATGCCAACCCAATTCCTAGGCCTGGCCACTAGTTGGCCAAATAAGGGACCTGCCTGTAAGTTAAGATTGTCTAGAAAACTGATAAACAATGGTGACTGTAAACATGATAGGCCTAAAAAGCAGGCAAACGCTTTTCGTAATTTCCTCACGAATTGAGTGCAACGTAATATGCAATTAGATTTCAGGATAGGTATATGTGGTGATGTGGTTTCAACTTACTTTTGCTTTAACTTTGGAATTGGAGCAGTCCTTTCTTTCTCCTCGTTTTCATTCATCCTGGGTGTGCCAATAAAGATATCTTACACATCAAAACGGGATAAGAGACAAAATTCCCCTCTTTACGTAGCCTGACGTATGTGACTGAGTTGTGATGTTCTTGGATACACGCGGTCGCTTCCTAAGGTATCGATACTACATAAACAAGTAGAGCCTATAGCAAAATATTCCGAGAATCGATACCAAACCCAAAGTTTCCTCTTAAAATAATGGCTGGCTTAAATTAAGGTAGCCATCGACAGTGACTATTTCAATCTTCACATTCAGTGCAAAGTCAAAGTCTCAACCTACCACCGATGAGCCTTGGTAGAGGAAACAGAGGACCTGAAGGAACTACACTAATGACTAAAAAAAGCTAATTTGAAAAACATTACTGATTATGGTTCTTTTTAAAAGAACATTTTGATGAGAATATTCTTGTTTGTTTTTTGTCAGTTTTGCGCCATTTAAATCCTTTGTTTAGCTGCTCAAGAAGGTCTATCCCAGCATAAATTTGCAATATTCCCCCCCCCAATTCCTCTACTAGACCCCAAACCAAGAAAAAAAAATTCAATTACTGGATTATCAGGATATTATGTACAGGGTTTCCATTTCTCTGAGAAATCACATCACAATATGACAACAATTAAACACAAACATGAATACTCTCAATTTCAAGAAAATCATTTATTTTTTCCTCCTTTACATTTCAATTTACATTCATTTTTTTAGGTTCAACATAATTACTATTTTTTTCCATTCTTCCACAATTTACAAATTGTGTTTTTGCATCGAATTTTTATGCTTTTTCAACAAAGGTTGATTTTAATAAACTTAACACGAAGCATACAGTAATATTTCAAATTATGAATAATAAAAAAAATTAAAAAGCACCAAACCTTGCAGAAAATCTCTTTTATTGTACAACATATTCGGGGAGATACTAAAACTTAACTGTCCAATCCAGTTGATAAAATAATTAAATGATCAGACCACTACAACAAAGCCAGTAGCATTACAATGGAATCACATAAAAGGCTAGAAGCTACCTGCTACTGTCCAATGCTTTTGTTGAAAAAAAATCTGAAGTGAGATAAAATACAGTTTAGCAAAAACAATAAATACAACTTCAAAGTGCACATGTAAAACTTTAATCAACAGAGTTGTCCTATCTTTGAACTTTCCTACAATGAAGGATACACTTTAAAAAAAATCAAGAAAGACACTTTAAAGACAAAAGCAAAAATAAAACACTAAAATGTGTACAGCGTACAAAGGTTACAACACACTTCTACAAGTTGGCTGTTCAGGTTGAAGTTCAGATCCCAGGTGTCCAGCGACTTGCATTCTGAAATTCCAGCTGTTTTAATGAGGACATTCCAAAGGATTAAAAAAGACAGATTGGGGAAATCTTTGTCCCCAAGCTACTCCACAACTACAAGTAAATAAATTAACAAAGAAAATGGTTGCAGGATTAGATGTGGAAAGGGCAGGGGAGCATTTAAGAGAAAACTTCACAAGAGTAAAGGAAAAATTAAAAAAAAAACATGCAATTTCCATAGGAAATATACAACAACCTTTCAGTGAAACAGAATCATATACTAAATTCTTGTTGGGGATGTTTTGAATTCCATTCTTATGTGTGCGGCTTTACTGTTATTGTTAAACATCAGTCATAATAGACATACAATGTAAAACCATTATAATTGTATCAACAATGAGCTCCTTGTTCCATACAGTATTGCTAAAAGCAAAACACCACATTAAGTCCCCTCCTATGCTCAGAAGTACCCAAGATATAACTGGAAGAAACATCCTGCATATCATGTGGCATCCTCGTACACTTTTGTAAAAAGTGCAGAGACTAGCCAGCATTAAAAAAAAAATACTTTTCTGAAATATTTTCTGGTCTTCTGAGATATACTAACAACAAAAACCTAATACAGTTTACAGCACATCCTGCATGCATGTGTAAAATAAATGCCAGGGACTTTCAATCACGTTGGTGAAAATACGTTACCATGATTCATTCAAATGACCAAGAGCTTTTTTAAGGGTCTAACTAGACAAGTGTACCACTCAGCATGTCATTGTCACTTTTCACCAATTCCACAATAAATGACTGAAGAATTCAAAAGAGCAAAAGAAATGTCCTGAGTTAGGGAAAGTAGTGTCTTAAGAATGGAAGAAATAGAGTACTTTTTTCTGATGAAGACTTATGCTTTCACTTCAAAGTTGTATTACAAACAATACATGGGTTGACAATCAAGGCATGTTCATGATTGTTAAGAAAAAAGACTTATAACTGAAAGCTTAATATTCATATGCACCAATGATGAATATTCATAAGGCAGGAGAAAATACTTGCATACCAAACACATCTTTCCTCGGTAACACTATTAGTCACACAAACAAGAAAATTAAGTTTATTTTTAAGAATCATTGTAGACTCCGACACAAAACCAAGATCCTAAGATATTTTGTGATGACTAGTTCTATTATTTATTATGGATTATGAATTATTCATGAGCATATACATGCAACAATATGTACACATAATGAATAAAAATGTCACAGCAGTAACTCGATACAATAGGACAAGTTCAAAGTCTATATTTTCTTTGAGCAATATAACATATGTACATGTTATGCTGTTAGATCAAGCAGTGGATATTCGAATTTTTATTGCAAAATTTAATCTGCTTTTCGCAAAAGTAAGTTGCAAATTGACAAAATTGCCATTTCATGAAATTCATTCTTTGGACAGAATGAAACTAAAAAGTGGCAAAGTTTTCAATCAGGAATAATTCTGATATTAACCCTAACAGTCCCAAATCCTCCAATTTCAATACGGTTTTACATACATCCTTAGGGGTTAGGGTTAAGCTTTATTAACATTTTGCAGAAACGTCTACTTATTACAAAAAAGTAGCAGTATTGAAATAGTCCTACTGATCTCATTATTTTGCATTCCCAGGGAACTATAATATTTTAAATTAACATCTGCATTTTCAACGAGGGGAGGAATTGTTTGCATATAAGACTGGGAAGCTCAAAGTGTAAAAAACAGTCATTGCTAGGAAGAAATCTAGTACTGCAAGATTGAACATCCTGAGAGCAGGGCCAAATTTTTGAAAGAAACATCGTAACTGAATTGAAAAAGAAAAAAAGACTTTTCAAAAATTTGGTTTGAAAGTGCTGTGAAGTAAGTACTGAACAGGCAGTCACTCGGTTGAATAAATTACTATAAACAATGTACAAAGTTCTAAAAAGTACTTAAGTAATAGGATTCTGGCAAAAAGGGAATCTGATCATTCAATGTGATAATTTTGCAGATGTGAACTCAGACACCTGAGCAAGGGTAAAAATACAACACTAGAATTTCAGGATGGCGATCAAGAAATATTTCTAATTGTAAGCCTACACAAAATTCTTTTAAACAGGCCTCCTCCTGAAAAAAATGAGACACACAATTCATTCCAAAGGTCTGGATGGATTTTATTTAGTCAAATCTGGCAGTTTCTTTAACAACCATTATCAGTTACAGTGGATGATGATAATGAAGTTATGGCGCAGCTATTAGATTATCACACAAACAACAAAAAGCATCCACAATTGACCCCTGTCTTTATGTAGAACCCAAGAATCTGTTGCACCATCAGTTTACATTTGAATATTTACAATCTATTTTATTCTATAACTGACTTTTATGCAGTACTTTGCAAAAGATCTGTCTGACCCTCCACAGTCTTGATCAGCTGAGCTTGTCTGAGGAGATTCTTGTAACATCAAGCCATACAATAAAGTACAGAGTCCATCACTCAATATATACAGCTTATAACATCTACACGGCTTGGATGGATCCTATTTGTCACTCTGTGTGTTGCTGAATGCATGGAATCACTATTTCTAGTAGAAGGTTTGAGATTGAAGGCAATCACACATCTGTGGTTAGGTTCTTCAGCTGTGCGTTGAGCTCCCTGTCATCCGGAAGGTCCTCTTCGTATTCATCATCGGTGCCATCTACACTGTCATACTCACTCAGTGCCATCTCGCTGTCTGGGTCACACATCCCCGAGACATCCGAGCAGGAGGCGTTGGTGTCGGTGTAGACCGACATAGACATGTTGTCCATGTTGGCAATGGCACCCTCCAGGTCAAAGTTCAGGTCGCCGGTGGAGGCAGCCCCACCGGGGAACTGACCCCGCTGAGGGTAGGGCAGGCCATCCGAGATGTCCTCCTCATTCTCTGCCTCGAGCGGGGGCAGGGTAGAGTTGCTGATGGCATGCTTGGGCAAGTACTGGTTGGGATGCTGCTGGTAGTGGGAGCTGAGTCCCACGTATGGGGTGTCGTCCACCGGCGGGTAGTTGGCCAGCTGCTGCTGGAAGTCCCTCATGGCTCCCTGTGGGTAGGGCATGTCCTCATTCTCGGCAGGGTAGTCTGTCTCCTCCCCTACAAACTCATCTTCAATGTCCTCGTCAGACAGGTTGGTGTTGGTGGGGGACTCAGGGGTCTCATATTGCACTTCAGGGATGTTGCTGAGGGGTTCGGCAGGCATCCAGTCACTGCAATCCCACTGGTATGCTGTAATGGTGACCAAAAAAGGATTAGAGTTTAGACATCAAGAACATACATGTAACATTCCTGCAGGGCTCCAACTAATCTATTATCCTTAATCTAAACAAGCATGCACAATTACAAGCTGGAAAGGAAACAGGGTAAAAATAAATTTCAAATCAAATAAATGTACATCAATCCATGCCTTCAAACCAAAAAGAAATTGTGAAGCTGCCTACCAAAATATTTTAGGAGTAAAGTGTTTCTATACACTTTAAAAATGTCGAAGATGTAAAAATTCTTGGGATTATAGTTCACTGAGAGGGTGAATTGAAAAATCTGAATTGCTTGGAGTATGATATTAGCCATGAATAAAATGACTCTTTGAGAAAAGTTGAAAAAAAAAATCGAATTTGAATGTTGAATCCTCCCAAAAGAGCTCATGGCTTTAAAATGTAATGTAATGGTGTAAAGACTTTTTAATTTTGGTTTTGTTCACAAATAAACATAATCCCAGTCGGCATGGGGTGATCATTTTTATTTCAAATGTGGAGATATGGAATGCATAAGTACAATAAAAAAAACCTGTATGAGTACACATTGAAGAGCAATGATAACGTTTTTTTTAATGATTGTGCTGAAGTGCAGTATGTGTATATTTATATAATTTATATTGCTCTGTGAAAATAAGAATGAAATACAGTAAATGGAAATACACTGGTGTTTACTGAAAGTAAATAAATATACACACAGTTAAATGGACCCTGAGACCAACCATTACACACAGACAGAACTTGTGATTACAACGTCAAGCTACAAACATAGCATGCTAAATTAATACATGAAAAGTGTGAAACAAGTTAACATTTGAAGGACATGTGTTGGTGAATATTCCCTCTTTTAGCACTGCCATTACAACTGGACAATGGATGAAACTTGAAAGTCAGACCAGACTGTACACACTCCCAAGTAAAAACATAGTACATCTAACTTCCCGAGAACTGATCATTAAAAGCACAAGGCAGACAATTGCAAAACTTCAAACAAATTAGACAGTCCACCACATCAGATGATTTTTCTTGACAGTTTTAACTTTTTACTCATTTTTACAGCTTAAATGAGGTAATTGGCAGCATGTGCATGAAAGCCTTTAGATGGAAGAACTGAAGTCGGCATAGATAGGCAACAAATAGCCCATGGAATCTTAGAAAACAAAAAGGAAATCAATACAGTTGAAATGTAGAGTTTTGAATGACTTATTTTGGGGTTAGAAAAGATCTTGGAGTTGGGTTTTTATGCTCATTACAAGTCAAGTGTGAACATGCAGGTTAGAGGTGCATTGTCATGGTGCTTCCTGACAGTGGTACGGTATATTTCCCAGACTCGTATTCAGAAAGTTCAACATTGGGAAAGGCCCTTTTGTCACACCTTGGCAAGCAGTTGTGGTTCCAGCCTCCAGCCACTTCTCTTGCCTCAAGTGCAAAGTGAAATTCTTAAATACTTGAACTAGATAGAAAGGTACTTGCTGTGACTGCCAAGTTTTAGGCTTTGATGTCTAGTGAATGTAGTGACCCTGATCAAGCCCTAGAGTCAGTGGTATAAGCCAAACCCAACAGCTGATGCCAAGGTCTAAGAGTTGCCCAAAATTACCTTAAGGTCACCTAGACATTACCAGGACAATATCAAGAATTACCCCCAAGGTTACCCACAGGTTACCCGAAGGGTGAGGTACCCGTACCAAGAAGTATCAGAAAGTATTGATGGGTACAATGAGTACCAGTGAGGATCCATGTAATAACACTGCTGCGTAAACACAAGCCTTGTTCCTCAAATAAGAATGACAAAGTGTGCACAGTGAGTGCTTGATAGGAAGTGGACTTTCTGAATACGATCTGCAAGTGTTAAAAAGAGGTGTACGGTGGGACTCAAGGGGGAGAATTATGAGGTGAGCTCATGGGTCCAAGAAACACAAATTCCCCACCATCAACACCTCAATTTCTGCCTCTAGTGAGTGTCTCAAGACCCACTGTACACACACAGGATTAGTAATAACAAAACACAGTGGGAGGCTGGGGTCTGGCAAGCTGAGCTGGTGGGTGCAACAGATGCAAATCCCCCACAGCCAACACTCCCATTTCTGCCTCAACAGCCTGCACCGAAGGCCACCACACATTCCCTTGATGAGTGCACCTTTTCCCCTGGTGACTGCTCATTATTATAATATCCCATGCATTATTCATCACCATCATAATCTGTTAATGATTACTGACATGAAATAAGTGCTTTCCTTTTGATTTTACATTACGTGTTCATTAGCTGGTACCTTTTTGCCTATATACATCGCCGGAATCTAGAAGAAAAAATAGCAACATGGTGCGGTGCGGGCAAGAAGACAACGCAGGTTCAAAAGGGGTGGAGGAATACAGAAAGAGCAAGAAAACTGCTGGTTAGATTCACTGGGTGTACACACGTCTTTAGCACACCAAGGGGTGAAAGGTCAAATTGAAGCTTCTTCAAATACTAGCTCAAAGGCAATTAACAAAACTAGTGCACGGTACTATGTAACAGCTGTGCAATTCCTTTTTTTAATGCGAGACTCACAAAATTGATAGTCTGCCATTAGTGGTGCTGTGCATGACTTTACAACAAGAAGCAATTTTTAAAAACTTCTTGTGCAAAAATCCACAAGCTTAATGCTTGAGTTTTAGGCTCTCAGGCTGTTAAAGAAACATGTAAAAACATCATTTCATTGCTAAGCATGTCTTCTCATTTTGGCAGATGTACTTCTTGAATAGTAAGAAATATGTTGTCATAACTCATTAAGAACCAAATTGTAAAACATGGTAATTCTTCAACTGGGTAATGAAACTTAACAGGAAAAGTACAATGCAATGAAACATGCACACAATGTACATATAAGGATTGCCAATATCACATTATGTACATTTAATATGGATAGCAGTGTTCTCCATGGGCTGTTTTAGCAGGGCGGAACGCCCTGCCAAAATTTTGGGCCACCCCGCCAAATTTTGCGGCCCTGCTATTTTTTTGAGTTGTGTATTTTTTCCTGAATGTCTACTTTCTCAAGATTTTAATAAAAAAGAGGTTTACCGCAGTTTGTGGATTGAGTTTGAGTTTACCAACGACACTTACGATGTACTGACAATGGTGATCGTTGGCTGCCTACAGTTATGCATAGTCAACCTTGTGTCCCAAAAAGCCATCGCTTATGTTTTGTACATGTACACGTTTATTGTATTATGCAAGTGTGTACATGTACACACAGTGTATGTGACTGGTACCCGCAGCGCAACTTTTTTTTTACGGAGTGTGCGCGGGTGCCAGAGGAAGGACCATGCCATGCCTGAGCGGCCCCCACACTCTGCTCCGATATGAAGGGGTTGCTTCATTTTTATGACGTGAGCTGGAAATTGTAAACTTATCTTTGCCTGACCACATTTCTTATGTCCTTTTTTATTCAAGGGCGCATTTCGAGTCTTGTTTTTACTCTGCCTTTTCACAGTCAACTGATCATTGAGAAAACCGCGTGCTCGGCTCATCTCAAGCATGTCTCAAGTCACTAACATGAGGTTCTGCTAAAAATGCTCCGGAAACTAAAATAATTTCGTCATCAAATCTTTCAATGAAGAAATTCCTCCTACAGAATATCCAACCAATATTTCATGTTGTAAATGCAATCATATTTGGGGCCAAATTACAGACGAAAGTGGACTGGAAATTGCCCCAGAATGCACCACAGAGCATCTAGAATCCAAAATTTTCCAGGGCCCTTAAGCAAGCCCCGGACCCCACGCCATAAGGGCTTCACGCTTGCAATTTTGTCTACCACCCTGCCAAAATTTTCGGCCATGGAGAACACTGGGATAGAATGTTAACACCATAGCAACTGAAACACTGAAAGAGACAATACTTAAAACTCAAATACAAAAATTGGAATGGATTTTGAACAAAGAAATTCAACTGATAGAAATCACTTTGCTAAATAACTGAAGGGAGAAACTGAAAGGAATCCAAACTAATCAAATGTAATTAAAGTTCTGCTCTGCATTAAGACATCATTTCTGGTACAGTACTAAATGGCCAGGCATCCTGTTATGCATGCTGGAGGGAAAGACTAGAGGATTACAGCATGGTGGGACAGGAAAAGAGACTAGCAACACTCAGGGATATCGTCACAATGGGTATTGTCACAGTCAAAAAAATATGTACACGTGTATGCATGGGTATGCAGGGAAATGGATCCTGAGAAGAAAGTAAAAATAAGAAAACCCATAGATGATGTAATGGGAACAACATAACTGGACTGAATGATCTGACTATTGACATGGAGTCTAACCCTTCTTTTCATCAGCACTCTTTGTGTCTGCATCTGCGGCATCCTTAGGGTTCTGGGTGATGTAGACTGTTTGGTGGGTATCATGAAACTCGGTCATGGTCTCCATGGGTTCGTCCGACTCCAAGAACAGGTTAGAAGCCCCATTGGTGCCAGCGTCATTGTCTACAGTCTGACAGCTGACGTCAGCAAGAATCTGAACCCCCTCAACACCAAGAGCCTTCTGTGTCTCCAAGAAGTCCAACGGTGGAATGTTGTTGAAGCCAATGTCAGAGCCAGCCGATCCCTCACTCTGACGCTCAATTTTCAAGCCAATCAGGTCAGCATAGGACCTCTCACTGTCGGAATCGGTCTGGATGTCGGACTGAGAGCTGTCTGCTTCAAATCTGCTGATCTCGGGCTCCATGTTGAAACGAACGCTCTTGGAGGGCTGCAAGAGGGAGTCAATGTCTGTCTCCAGGACAGGGCTTGTTTTGGATGGACGCTTCTTAAGAATCGGAGACTTGGGAGCGTACTTCTTGGGTGATTTTGGGCTTGGGGACTTCTCCGTTGCTGGGGCAGCATTCATCAGTGGTTTACTTTGCTCCACAGGAGTTGGTGTAGTGGGGGATTTGGGTGGGGACACAGGGGACACCTTAGAAGGGGGAAACATGTGGGGCTTCCTTTGGGTGTTAGTGGGGGAATTTTGAGAATGGGCCTGCTCAATGGAGATCACTGTGTCTTGGCTAGCGTCAGAGTCACTGTGACTAGAGGAAGGAGTTGATGGTGACGGAGGTTTTTTCTGATTGACTGACAAATCAACCTCCTGGTCAGCCGGTGGCAAAGCCTTGGTGGCTGTGGCACAAATCCACAGGGTGAGCAGTAAAAGCAAGACAGAAACAAGACACAAGAGAGGATAGAAGCTGTTAAGAGTTAGCTCTGGTTACCAGTTAGTTAGAGTACCAGCAAGTTCTCTAGCAGGATGGTTCAGTCAGAATGGCAAGCAAACAAGAGTTTCAACTTCATTCAAAGCATAGATTGATTAAACAAAAATCTTTGTGATTCAGGCCAAGAAATATCGTGTTATTCCATTCACTAGACATACTTTTCTTTCCTCAGATATTCAATTAAAAAAAATATTCAGACATATCTGTAAATTCCACAGGCAAAAATCAACGTCTTGCAGTATTCATGGGTACTAAAACTAAAAAAAACTAAAACAAAACAAACAACACAAGGTCCCCGTTGAAAAGAAGGAAGATGCCGGCAGGCCTAGTTTGGGTCCAGTAACGGCTTACCAGAACCAAGCAGCTACTGGGTCTCTGAGTATGCTTCAAATGAAGATCATTAATAGGGTTAAGAAAGACATCTGTGCGAGGGTGTTAGAATGTTAGAAAAACTACCCCGAAAAGCTATCAAGCATATTTAACCTTTAAATCTGCTATACAGAAAGGTTTCTTCAGACATACATGTAGTAAGAAAACGGTTTTATTTGAAAGACTATCCTGCCAACCCTGTACTATTAGCAAGTGTCACTTATAAACTACAAGGAATTATAATATACCTGTTAATTTGTTAACGTGCATGATTTGAATAATCAGAAGATTCCTATCCTAATTCTTATTACTACAACTGTATCTACAACTTGAAACCAGTTAAATGTTTCATTACAGAGTCTATTAGATGCTTTGTTGAGGCTAGCAACAAAGCTGTAGTGGCTTGATAAAACTTGGGAGATATTAAGCAGATATCATGAGGTGACACCAAGAAAAACAGAAGAGTAATGGATAGAAAGGAAACCATGGTTTCATTAAGGCAAAGTGAAAGTGCATGGCCACCTAGCACTACTTACAAAGCAATCCCCCCCCAAAAAATTGACATTTTTTAAACTCTTGGGAGGTAGGAAAATCAGACTACCTCTTACAGATGGGCAATCTTATTTAACCTCACTAATACCACCTGTTACACACTGATAATAAAAACTGCTTACACTTTGGGTTTGAAGTTATGTGCAGTGGGTTACAACATATATGGGCACTTGAGCACTGGGCAAGCCCCTTGGTAATGGCAAACACAATGTGCCACACTTTGTTTAGAAAACTTGACAAGGGCCAATCATTTTGCTCAGTAGCTGGGGTAATGTGTCCACTGTTCCTCGGGGCTTGCTGAGTGTATAGTAATCTTGTGCCTGGATTACAGAACAACCACTTCCAAACTTTTTTGGGACCACATGACTTATATTGATGGCTATGTACTGTATTTTCATGTTTTGCAAAGTCATCAAGTTGGATTTAATTCAAAGCACTTGCATGGAAGCAATTTAGATGTTCATGACGTATTTCAGTACTGAAATAATGTCCTGAACCGGTTATTGGATCGATCTTACCTGGTAATGCGTCATCATCGTTCTCGGTATTGATGGAGCTCATTGAGGTGACCTCGACATGGCTGAACTGGTCATAGGCCGGGGGCTCCAGGGGCATACGACCATCCCTGGCTGGGGGTAGGATGCAGGGATGAGAATGCTGCAGGGGGTGGTGGGCACTAATGGGGGCGTTCTTGGCACTGTCCCGCCCTGACAAAGGAGGAAATTTGTGATGAAGGGGTCAGTACAACAAGATTGAGTCAACCTTGTTTGGGAAATTTTCTGAGAACTTATCTTGCTCTCTCATGTGAGTTTATAATATTTGTAGTATCATGAATGACTGACAAAGAGGAATAATCTTCAAAAAGGAAAGATTCTTTACAAATTTTGAGGCTTCAATTCTATAGGCTTATTTGAAAATGTTGAGACCTATTATCAAAATACAAAGAAAGATATCAAAACAGGCAAAGTGTTAAAACTGAGGAGTTCAGAATGCATCCAAAAACCTTGTGAACAAGGAAGCACATTTCTGATCCACAAGCACAGAGCAGTGTCTGAAGACGATGAATAATAAAAAAATGCAGCCTACCATCGGCGTAGCTCTCGTGGGTACTGGGTGCATCAAACTCCCAGGCTGGCTTGGCGATAGAGTCACTGTCTGAAGCAGAGTTGGAAGGCAAGGGAGGCAGGGAGGGCTGCTGGCTGATGGGCTGGCCGTGGTAGGCCTGGGAGTCATCATAGCCATACCTGAGCATTGAGAGGAAGAGATGCAAGGTGGGATGGGTTCAACGGGTGTTGATTTCTTACTTAAAATGCAAACCCTGGTCCAATCAAATCAATCCAACACACTACCGTCTTCCAAATCCAAAAAGGTATCAGTTTGAAAAACTTGTTTTCTTTTCCTTTATTTTAATACTGTGTTTCTTTGTCAAGGCTGGAATGTGTGTGAAAGGACTCTCATGTATGGGTTCTGTGAAGGAGCATGAGCGCTTGTGTGTGCATACAGTGTAGTGCCCATCTTTGTGCAGTGCAGTTAACACCTCTGCTTGGGTGGCAAGCAGCTACTCTGTCCAGCCCCTCTCTTCTCCAACATGACAGGTCACTACCTGTGGCTGATCAGCAAATGTTGCTACCAATGACACCAAGTCCACTTCCATTTGACAAATACAATGAGTACTCCTCTAAATACCCGTAGGTCATTTTAACACTTGACAATAAATCTCACATCTATGGTGTAGAGGAGTCGATTAGTTGAAGTGCAGCCTACCTGTCTGTATCCAGATTATTGAGAGAGTTGTGGTTGCTTGGTGTGTAGGAGGCAGGTCGGTCAGGCAGTGGAGGTGGTCTGGGGCTAGGTGGGCTTGGTGGATACCCATAGTCAGATCCCTTGCTGTCTCGTTTGAAGGTATCCATTGAGTACTGGTTGGCACTTGCGTGGATGTGATGTGATTGGCGCCTTCTGCGACGTCTACGCATGAAGACAGCAAAGAGCAGGACTAGGACAATAGCAATGACCGCTGCTACTACAATGCCAATAATCTCCACCATGCCGATGGCGAAGGGACCGGCCGTGATGTTGGGCACAGCATCCAAATCTAGACTACGGCACACCTCATCGGCCGAGGATGGGCTACAGCACTTGTAAGACTTGGTCAGCTGCACGCAATGGTGGCCATAACGGCAGGGATTCTGACTGCAGTGAGTCAGCTCCGTCTGGCAGTATGTGCCGCCGTAGCCAGTTCCTGTGCAGTTGCAGGTCATGCTACCCAGCTTGCAGAAACCATCATTGAGGCAGACCTGCTCGGGGCATAGCACCTCGTTGCAGTTGCGGCCGGAGTAGGGCTCCTTGCAGTCGCACTGGAAGTCATTGCCTGTGCTATAGCAGGTCCCCCCGTTGGCACACGGGTCAGGGTAGCAGGGCGTGAAGGGAAACTCACACCTGTTGCCGTTCCACCCAGGCCGGCAGTCACAGACGAAGCTGTAGCCATAATCAATACAAGAACCCTCATGTTCACAGGGGTTGCCCGAGCAGGCTTTCAGGAATTTGGATGGACACTCCCCAATGTTGCTGGGTGTGATTCCTTCCCCAGTCCGCTCTAGTCGCAGCCCGTCCACATTCATATCACCCATGCACCCGATGAATCCGTCCGAGACCGTCTCTCGGCGGGCACGGACTTGGTCGGCCACCCGGGCACCAAAGACTATCTTGTTGAGGTTGAGAGCACGCTTGTCACCGGCCGCACTTCCCGTGGCTGAAGCAGATCTGTCCAGAGTTACCGTGGCAACATTTCCTTGATGGCTGATGGAGACCTCATGCCACTGGCCATCATCCACACGCCTTGTGGTCAAGTGGATATTTGCTGGTCCACTTCCACAGTCAAAGGTGTAGTGAACAAAGCCATCAATAATCTGCAAAGAGTAAGCAACATGAGAGGTATATATAAACATCACTGAACTAACAAGGAACAAAGTGTAATGAGAAAAGTGATAGGTTGTCATATACTGGTATCTAAAATCACCTCCAGATAACAAATCAGTTTTACAATAAGTAGCACTTGGCCTTTGACAGATACAATCATTGCATTTACCTCCAGGGTGCTGTAGTCATCTCCCTCTCCATGCATGATGACACCGTTGGGTTCCATTGTGTGTATGGCCACAGCTACCCTGACAGCCAGGCTAGATACATCCAGCAAGTCATAGCGCATGTAGCTGTTGCCGGAGAAGCTCATGGGCAAGCTAGGATCCCCTCCACAACTAAGGCTGTTGTCTGCACAGACACAGCTGAAGGCATCACCGTTGGCCTGGCAGCTCCTGTAGGCCGGGCAGGGGTTGCTGGAGCATGGGTCGGTGATGGTGGGTGTCTGGGGACGGGGTGGCTCAGCAGTGGGTAGGTCACTACAGCCCTCCACTGTAATGGTAAATATGAGATGCATCATTTAGAATAAACTCTTTGGAAACCATACTCTTACACTGCAAATAGGCCTAAAAACAGATTCATGTAATTAATATCTGTAATATTGTGGACTTCAACAAACCGTTTTTTTTTTTTTTTACATTATGTGGAAATGTAGCTTTGTGAAGTGTTTTTCTCTTAGTAAAAAGCTTACCACGTTCTTTACAGACACAAATGGGTTCCCTGCTGTGTCTGGCTGACACAAAGCCAGCCTTTTCCCCATCATCAATAGTAGTCACATGGGCCTGGTCAAAGGTGACGTGTGACTCGCAGCGTCGCTGTTTGTCACAGACTTTGTCCAGACAGACATCGGCCACGATGGCCTTGACTGTGACTCCCATACGCTGGACAAAGCTGGAGGCGCTGGTATTGATCTGGCGCTCCAGAGATTTGGGCTTGTAGTAGGAAACTCCGCGGCGGTCCGATTTCTCAACTGCAAACAGGACTTCTGTGTCTCCAGCAGCCATCTCCGACTGCTGGATGCTGATGACTTGGACATCAGCAGACTCCGCAGAGCGCAGGATGTTGCTGATAATGTGCTTGAAAACATTGAAATACAGGTAGAGAAACTTCTCTGGGGTCAAGTCTTGGAAACCGATGGTCACACTGTTATCCAACATCTCCGTGGTCACAGTGTCCACGGTCACCTGGACATCGCAGTACGACACAAACTGCCCATCACTGACGCTGACATTCAGCTGGTAGAAGCCTTCGTCCAGGTCAGGCTGGGCCAAGATGCTGCCGGTCTCCGGGTCTACCCGGAAGGCGTTGCCCATATTATTGGCCAGCTCATAGCGAAGGACATCAGCAGGATCTGCATCCACAGCATCCACCCATCCAATGACTCCACCAGGGAAGTCGTCCTCATATGACTTGATAGTTATCATCATCGGCGACTTCACAATGGGTGGGTTAATAGGTTCAATGATCTCCAACGTCACATGGGTGATAGATGACAGTGGCGGTTTCCCATTGTCTGTTACCTGAACGGTCAGCTCATACACGTCCTTCATCTCACGGTTGAAAGGGAAGCGATTGTACAGGATACCATCTGAGTCAATGTTAAAGTCATTGTCTTCATTGCCTTTAACAATGGTGAAAGTAAATGGTGGGCCATTCACAGAGGAATCAGGATCAGTGACATTCAACTGAACAAGTTTACTGTTCACGGCCATATCCTCCTATTAACAAGCAAAAGAAAGGAAACTGAATTATGACAAGTATTCATGTCAAACCCGCATTTTAAATCAACTTAAAGTTTGATGAAATAAGGATTTAAACATATCTATCTTGAAATGTATGCGTATAATCTTGTGCCAAAATGTGTGCATCCAAGATTTTTTAAAATGAAGGTTAATTCTGCTGTCATTTCCTCTGCAACTCCCAGTGGTTAGTGTCGAATTACAACTCCTTTTAGCAATCTTTTTGAAAACAGGCACTTTCTTCCCAAAAGACTGCCCCTCTTCCACACAACATGGGAGTGGATTGGTCTTGCAGCACTGTGCTATTCTCTAACTCTGCCTGTGACCTTACCCTCTTGATGACAGTGTAGTTAGAGCGCAGGAACCTTGGTGGATTGTCATTGATGTCTCCCACCGAGACCTGGACAGACACGTCGTTGAACTGGGCTGGCTCACCTCCATCGCTGGCACGAATGATCAGAGAGTACGAGGAAGTCTAATACACAACACATATTATGAAACATAAGGCATTTCATTCAGGGATCACCAGGTACCTTGACAGTGCACTCTGATATTATTTTAGATGCTGCCAAGTGAACAAAAAAGCATTTTCTATGTTACTCTATGTCTTAAGTGCTCATTACCTGAACTCCAATGGTATTTTGGCACGTACTTTCCCTCACTCTAACATCAATCACTGTGCATGACACTCACGGAACTCTTTTGGAACATCAAATACTAGGAAGAATATTAAAGGTCCATGTCCAATAAATGGTGGCTGGGTTCTAATCTTGTGAGTCCTCCAAAATTCTCTTGCTAAAAACCTCTGGATGATTTTGAAGGAAACTAATAAAGTTAGGGTTAATACAGTACTGATTTATTTTGCATCTGGGCTCTGACCTGTTCTCTGTCTAGTTCAGCAGCCACACTGATCAGGCCATTCTTCTCGTTGATAGTGAACTGATCAAAGAGATCTCCACGCAAGATGGAGTATGTCACCTCCCCATAGGCACCACTATCTGCATCAGTGGCCAAAATCTACACACAAGATGATATACAATTAGAGTAGCGACAATAAAAAGTTTACATTCTGTCAAATGGTTCACAATTTTATCTCAATCTAATGCAATCATTCAATCCACAAAGTAAACTGTATCATCCATGACATGACCTATGACTTTGCCAAATGACAAGATGACAGTCTTTATAAGCCACATATAACATTCTATGGAAACTGACAAAAGACGTTTTTTTCATTCTGATCCCAACTATGGGATCAGAACGGCATGCTTGTCATGCTTGTGTATATAATGCATACAGCTGGATTAGGTATTGTGGCACAGAAGAGAAACATGCATTTGATTCCAATCTGTGCATGGGCAGGGCTGACTGGATCCCTCTATATCTGTTTTTCTTATCTACTTGGCTAACCTGCACGATGCTGTCTTCTACCCTGGCCACCTCGTTGATTTCACTGTAGTAGATGATCTGACCAAACTGGGGCACGTTGTCATTAGCGTCAGTGATGTAGATGCTGACCATGGTGGTGTCCGACAGCGGACGGAGACCACTGTCTGTAGCCTTGATGGTCAGATAGTAGCTATTGGACATCTCAAAGTCCAGTGAATTGGCCACTGTGACTTTGCCTGGAACAGAACAGGGAGCAAAGAGTACATTCACAGAGCCAGACATTTACAAATTTGTAATTGAAAAACAGGTCTCAGAAGTATCCTTCTGGGGGGTCAGCCTTGGCTAAATTCCTCACAGTTGCTTCTTACTTTTAAAACCAAATGAAGCAGAAGAATTTATTAAGACCTCTCCAAAAGTGCAAGTTTCACAGGAAGTACATATCAGAATTTCTTTATCAGCAGATGTTGTATTTCTTTGGGTCTTGACTACTGACAAGTGCCTTATATACGCAAAGTCAAAATTGCTGAATAAAAACCTGTGAAATACATGTATTATTCATTACCTATTTAAACAGACACGTTACTATGGAGACATTACCGTGTGCCTGTGTGAAGCTTACCTGTGTACTCATCCACGTGGAATTTGTTGTGTTCATTGCCACTGATTATTTCATATGTGATTAGGGCATTCACACCCACGTCTTTGGTCAGTGCCTCAACGGTCACAACGGTCGTCCCGATAGCCACGTCCTCTGACAGGCTGGCATTATACAGGTCATGCTCAAACTGAGGCTCGTTATCATTCTCATCCAGAACATTGACCACCAACAGAGCCTGGGAGACCAGGAAAGGGTTATTGGCATCTGTGGCCTGCAGGGTCAGGTTGTAGATGCTGCGGTTCTCCCGGTCCAGGACCTGACGCAGGGTGATAATGCCTGAGGAGGGATCGATGCTGAAGCTCTGGATGTCTGGCTCCATGATGGAGAAGGAAAACTGACGATTGATACCTGAACAAACAAAAAAAAGTTGCATCAGTCTTTGAAACTCTGTGGTACTAAGTTAGACTCGAGGGAACATGTGTTACATTTGCTCAGTGTAGAAGTACATTCTCACTGGCAAAACAGAAAAAAAAAGCTGGTGGTGACTGTTTCAGCTGGACGCCAAAACAACATGTAAATTATGCAAAGATATTCCAACTTGGTTGAGTACTTTCAGTGTCCCCAGCCAAGTATGCATAAAACTCAGTGTACACAGGGTGTGCCTACCAATGGGACACTGGTACTGTGTACAAACGTGCCATGGACAGTGCTGAGTTTTCACATGTGCATGGCTTGATCAACTCTGCTATTAGTAATCTGATTTCCCTCAGAATTGAGTGTTGGGAGTTTTTTTTACCTGTGTCAGGGTCGATAGCTTGGATACGCGTCAGCAGGGTGTTCAGCGTGGTGTTCTCACTAACACTCTCATTATACACACTGGATGAGAAGATGGGAGCGTTGTCGTTCTCATCCAGAAGTCCCACAAAGATCTGGGAGACACAGGAGAAACTGCCATCTGATGCCAATGCCTCAAAGTGGTACAGGGATTGTGTCTCGTAGTCCAGTGGGCCTGCTGAGCTGATTTGCCCTGGAAAGGTCACACAAAATGATTTAAGAGATCATCAGTGGACTTTCAAATGTAGACCTTTCAAGAAATCTCAGCGGAACAGGAAGACAGCCTCCGACATATACTGGAAATAAGATTAGGGCAGTTTGTCTGAGCAAAGATTCCTACCTGTGCTCGGGTTGATGGCAAAGAGGGCTGCATCATCTCCACTCAAGGAGTATGTGATGACTGCATTGTCTCCAGCATCGATGTCACTAGCTGACACTTGGATGATGTCAGTGCCAGAGGGCAGGCTCTCTGTGACGTCATCTGAGTAGACAGTCTGTGGGTTGAGAGAAACGGTTAAGATCATGTTAATACCAGGCGCAAAACTCATAGTGCTGGTAGGCATACAATTATGTTTGTGATACACAGATTTGTTACACCAAGAAAACAAGAAGAAAAAATGCACAAAATGTCATGTGGGGCATATTGCTTATAATTCGTTCTGGGTTGATTTGGTAAGAGAGCAAAAATGTCCTAAGCAGTTTTATTCAGCAACCTGGCTTGTTGAATGAAATACCTGTGCACAGATGGGTGTGTTGTCGTTAACATCCAGGACTGTGATGGTGACCATTGTGGCATCCATGTAAGCTCCATCAGTCACTGTCACATTCAGGTTGTAACTTTCCTTCAACTCCCTGTCAAGCTCCCTGGACACAAATATTTGGCCCGAGTTACTCTCGATGGCAAAGTGGCCAAACGGATCCCCTTCAGTGATGTAGTACACCAGATTGGAGTTGGAGCCCAGGTCTGAATCAGTGGCCAACACTGCTGTCACTACAGTCCCTATAGCAACAGATTCTAGCACCTGGCCAGCGTAGAAAGGGTGGGTGAAGCGGGGCGGTGAGTCATTGAAATCCATCAGTACTACGTGGACTGTAGTTTCAGCTGTGTTCTGCACCTCGCCTATTTCACCATCCGTGGCCACCACGACCATGGTGAAGCTGGGAAACATCTCCCAGTCCAGGCTAGCCTTGGTCTTGATGACTCCCGTCTCTGAGTCCACTGCAAACATGTCCAAGGCCTCTAAGTCCTCATCTTCTTCCGAGGGAGCAAGATTGTAGCTGATCTGCCCAAAGATGGCAGAATCCACGTCCATGGCATGAACCTGCAGGATCTCTGAGTCCACTGGGATGTTCTCTGGCACACGGATCTCATAGGAGGAGTCATCAAAGACAGGTGGGTTATCATTGACATCCAGCACGGAGATAGCGACCTCCAGGAAGTTAGCAAGCCCAGGGACTTCCTGAGTCTCCGCTTTGACGATCAACTTGTACCACTTGCAGGTGTCGTAGTCCAGCTGGCTGGTGACGGACAGCACCCCGTCATCACGACCAATGCTGAACTTGGCCGGGTGGTTGGTGCGTGGGTCTGTTCCCAGCACCAGGCTGTACATCAAAGTCCGATTGCTCTGGGCTGTCAGTGTGGTGATGGTATCTCCGATGGCGTGGTCCTCAGACAGCTCAAAATTCAGCATTTGCTCTTGCCCTTGGAAGATGGGTAGCTCATCATGAGAACCGAGCACGTAAATACTGACAGGGACACGGCCAATGAGAGATACCGCTCCACTATCAGTGGCTTTCATGAAGAATACAAACTGAGTGCCCTCTGCAAGGAAAGGAGCAAATTACAGTACTGACATGAAGTAAAAAGAAGGCTCTAAGGAAATCCAACCCCAACATTTGATTCAGTTTCTATTCCTGTTGTGATGAAATGGCCTTCTTGAAACTCAGTATTTCTGATAGAGATTTCCAAATGTTAATGTGAATCTGTTTTGGATGACATGGCAGATCTGTGACTGACGAGGACATTTTTTACCTTTGCCCTGCAATGACTGCCTGACAGACAGCAGCCCTGTCTGCGTGTTGATCTCAAACTGGTCGATGATGCTGTCCGATGTGCCATTGTCAAAGTAGTAGGTCAGCTGGCTGTTGCTGCCTAGATCGGCATCGTTGGCCGAAACCTGAGAAGGGACAAGGGAGAGAACATGAATGAATTTAAGATTCTGAAGAGCGATATAAGCATATTTCAAAAAGAAAAACATGGGAAATGAGAAAGCTGAACTAACAGGTGAATCTAATTTGTTTATCAAAGACTTGAAGTTTCAGACAAATCCCATGATGTTAAAAAACTAATCCATAATGTTAAGAAATGTTCAGGGGGCAGAGCAATTACATTCCATCTGGCAAGAAATAGGTTTCTTGATTTTTTTTTCTTTTTCTTCGGTGTGACCTGAGGGGATTTTTGAAAGTTAGCCAGGTCGTACCCTACAATATGCAACTACCCTGATCTACTAGAAGGCAAGGTTGAGTATAAATATGAGAATGGGTCTAAGTCCTTCAGCCATGACCAGCATCTACTCACCTTGATGATCTCGGAACCGACCTCCAAGTCCGCAGGGATGAACGCCTCATACTGCTGCCGCTCAAACTGCGGCCGGTTGTCATTCTTGTCTGTCAGGATGACATTGACCTTGGTGTAGCTGGTCTTCCCACCAGGGTCCGATGCCATAATGGGGATGCTGATGGTGCGCTCCTTAGAGTTCTCCTGGTCCAGTGGGACTCGGGTTCGAATCTCACCTGAGTGAACAGAGACATAATCTCATGAAGAACATGAAACCCAATGTGCAAGTCAAGTGCTGTTGAAACACAATCTTTGCCTTTTCTATTTCTAACACACTGCTGAATTGTTTTTTGGCATCCAAGTTCTGTTTATCCTTCCCCCAACCCTATTTTTATACCTACTAGAAAAAAAATCTAAAAAGGTAACCACTTCTTCAAATTTTCAAAATAATACCACCCTGCTAACAAAGTCTGTTTTGATTTTGTCTGAACACTCTGCTCTGTTGACCACTTCTCTGTTGGATGTATTGCGCCAGGGATTATGCTGTGTTGATGTTTCACAACTCAAGTTATATTTGTAAGGTTTGTAGTGTGAACTGGAGCAGTAGAACTTTCCCTTGGATATGAAGCAATAATACAGAAACCTTCATAATGAATTAGTGTTTTCTACAAGACCAATAGATTAATTATGTCAAGTGCATAAACCTAACATTACTTCAGATTTCCCAACCTGACAGATTTAACGAGCTGTTGGACAACAGATGGAACTAAAAATTAAAAACGCCTCATCCAAAACTCCCTCTGAAAGGTTTGAAATAAACAAAGATTCCACCGGCAAATTTGACTGGGTAGCCAAATGGGATATTTCACATTCCTTTTACGGGATTTTTCAATTAATTAAATTTGAAATAGCCAAGTTCCCATAGAAAATCAAAATATTGTAAGGGTTACAATGCTTCAAATGTACATGCATGTATAATACTCAATTAACAATAGGTGGGACTCTTTTAACTGTACAAAAACTGCATACTATCCAGATTAATAGAGTGCTACATTGAGCAGCCAACAATAAGCATGGTGTAGACCAGAGGATAAATGTCCTATACACTGTGCAGTGAGTAAGATTGCAGAATAACGGATCACTTGTTGAACTCTCAAGTACTTTCAGATATGCAACCAGACAAAATCATGATGAAGTGAAAGTGCTCTGAATTGCTGTGGAGTGTAAACATTTAGGCTTTCTGGATGCTATCAGGTTAAATAAACACAGGGTGTGCCTTGGGAAAGGGGTACAGAGAAAGTTTCTTCTTACAATTTCAAACAAACCATGGCCAGATTGGCAGGATGTCAGGTCCCAGACAAAAATGCTTCAGTGTGTTTAGTCTTGGCTAGGGCACACTGTTTGGTGAATTTCCCAACGGTAGATAATGACTCGATTTGTGAAAAGTACTTTGATCTTAAAAAAAACAAACACATGTTTTGTAAACCAATTGTGAGGGATTGGTTTGACACAATTCCACAGACCTCAATATTGTCATGTCTTGCTTAAATATTACTGTAGTCTGCACTTTTGTGGCTAAACTCAAATCTCAACTATGACTTTCAGAAAAACAATTTTCACTTTCACTGTGATCTCATGAATTGTCCAGGATTTTGTTATGCCTTGAACTCAGGATGAGCTGTACTGTGAGAAGCAAGAGAAGTAATTAACAGTAGTTGTGGTCCATATTTGTACATGCATACTGATGTGTGGTAGAGTATATGTACATGCAGGCTTTATATTATACATTGGACTCCCTTGAACAAGAAAGGGAACATATTGGGGTACGGACAAAACTGAAGAAACCAAACCTAGTTACAATATTTCTTTCTTCTGACCACATGTTATAGATTAAAACTGTGAGAGGGACAAGAAACGACTACAGCCTTTTGCCTCCAACCATCAAGAAACACGATTTACTAGGAATACAAGAATGTCTCCAAATATTCTTCAGAATTCTAAATTTGTCCATCAAACTATCTTTCAACTGTGCAATGGACAGTTCTTTGAAATTTAGAAAGAAAACTGGCATCTTCCCCACTAAAAACAAGCCTTAAAATTCTTATGTTAGAAGTCAGATGAACAAAAATAATAGAATTATTATGGACAATGTAATATGTGCAGCAACTCTGTCACTCAGTGCAGACGGTTGAAGATTAGTGTGCAGACAAAAATCATTATTTGTGTGATCATTATTGAGGATATGTTTCAAAGCCAAACTTCACACTTGTTAGCAGGCTGAAAGCAGAGAATCAACAAAAAACAAATCCCATTCATTCCTCTGGGAGGGTTTTACCTAGTGGTTTAGCGTTATCACGTTCAAATTCCACCCTAGTAAACATAAAACCTGGGAAATTGTACAGAAACTGTTAAATACCAGAATAAAGAAAAACAGATAAAAGAAAGAAGTAATCACTGTCAATTTGAAAGATCCAGTGAGAGGCGAGACGCATCACTGTCAACTGACTGTCAGCAAGAAACAAAGTTGAAAGAATTGATTTGTCGATTTTTAATGATCAGAATGCAACGGATTCCAAACTTGAAGATAACTAGACTATAATGCCAACAATATTTTTAAAAGCAAAAGATCCAACAATAATGAGCAGAAGCACAGGTTGGTTACAGAGAAACACGTTTGTTAAAAACCCACACGTCTCCATGCCTTCTTTACTGAACACTGTATTCAAGGCAAGGGTTTGTTAGAAATTAAATACCAGAAAATAAACAGAAACAATGTGATTATATTTTTAATTTGAGATTTGTTCCCATTTCAGGAGAGGTCCTTATTTCTTCAGCCCCCCCCCATTATCTATAATAGAACTTGTTTATTCCTTGTTATCAACAGAGGGCAAACTTACCTGAGTGGCTGTCGATTTCGAACCTCATCCTGGCCTCGTGGCCGATGATGGAGTAGGTGACATCACCATTGGGACCCTCGTCAGCATCGTTGGCCACCACCTGGAAGACCACGCCCCCTGCGGTCTCATTCTCGGGGAACTCGATGTTGTACTCACTGAGGCTGAACTCGGGGGCGTGGCGGTTGACTGGGGCCAGGCTGACACGCACCTGGGCTGAACTGGTAAAGACGCGGTCTGAAACGGACACGTTGAGGGTGTAGCGGGAGGCCAGACTGGGCTCGTGGGTGTTGGACAAACTGATGACACCTGAAGGAACAAATTTAAAATACTTGTTTGACATTTGCCATGGTGAGAAAGCCAGATAAAAGGATGACACAGTTGATACTTGGTAAGTTGATCAAGTCAACAAAAATACCACTAGTACCAAGAAATATGTGTCATTTTACTTGAATTTTCATGTGAATTTATGAACAGTTTCTTAGATAATTTTTCAACAGTAAATACAAGGTAAACATATGCAGAAAGGAAAAACTCTCACTTGCCTGTTTTACTATTGACAGCAAATGCCATTTTGTCATTGCCAGACACGATGGAATACGTCAGCTTCCCAGTGTCAGATATGTCAGGATCGGTGGCAGTGACTGCAGTCACAAACTCGCCCCTGGCTGCCAGCTCACTCACAGTGCACTCATACTGTGCTTGAGAAAACACTGGTGGGTTATCATTCATATCTAGCACCAACACAGTGATACGAGTCTCGCTACTTAGCATGGGAACCCCAGAGTCGGTGGCCAGCACTACGAAGTCATGGCGTGGGTAGCGTTCATAATCCAGGACCTGGGAGGTCAAGATCAGGCCGCTGTCTGGATCCAGGTGGAAGAAGCTGGCAACTTCCCCTTCTGTGATGATCCGGTATTCAATTCGGCTGTTGGCCGGGGAGTCTAGGTCCGAGGCCTGCACCCGAGCCACTGTGGATCCTACAGACACTGCTTCTGACAGGGTGGTCTGGTACACCTTCTGATGGAAGCTGGGGGCAATGTCATTGATGTCTAAGACCGTGATGTCTAGCATGACAGAAGCAAAGGCCCCTGTCAGAGTGTCACTGGCTTGGATGGTCAGTCTGTAAGCCTGTTGACTCTCATAGTCAATCGGGCCGATGACGTTAACCACACCTGGTAAAGGCCATGTATAAAAATTATCAAGTCACTTCATAAAGCTAACAAAATTATCAAGCAAATGAATGACTGCATGGTTGATGGTGCAAAATCTAATTAGAACATGCCTATAAGTGTTCATAAAGATGACTGTTTTCCCCATGCATGGGAAATTGGTTCACTGGTTCCCCTGTAGGACCTACCTGTATTGGGGTTAATGTCAAACTGGTTGAACTGGTCCCCGCCACTGACACTGTAGAGGACATCTCTACCGTGGGGACTGATGGCCTGGATCTGAATGATGGCTGAGTGCAGCTGTATGTTCTCAAGGATGGAGGCCTGGTAGTACTGTTCCTGGAAGAGTGGCATGGCCTTGTTCTGGACAGTGATAGGTACGTCCACCACAGCACTGTGACGGGGCTTTCCTGAGGAAGAGGTAATCCAACACAGCGGCATGGGTTAGTCTGCACCAGCAGCCAGGATTCAACTCAGTTCGACGTTAATCCACCCAAGATTCATCACTGATTTCATCCAGACCTTTACACTTGTCTTTACACTTGAGGACTGGGGATTTTACACTTGTCCTCAGTTATCTGACAACTGACTTATGGTAAACTTAATAGCATAGTGACAAGGACAGCCTGAAAAATCATCATTTGATACATTTTACAAAGGATATCATTTCTACAAGAAAAGAAGCTGAGATTAACTCAATCTTCAAGCAACAGCTGATCCTGGCAAGGTACCTAAAACTTGTACCTATGACCAATATACTGAATAACAAGAAAGTGCTCTGTCAAAACAATGAAGTGAAACTATGTCTGACACACAAACACAAACTTATCCAAATCACGTCATACATGTATATCGCAATTCCACGCCTAAAATGGAAACATTCAACAAATTTAGTTTGGGTTATTTCCATTTTTCTTTGGTATTCATCAAGTCTTCGCGTGGAGTTTCCAAATCTCAAAATTCAGTGACGAATATAATATCAATCTCGATCTTTGGTTCTTCGCAAGACAAGAAAAGCAGAAAAGATCCTTTAACAGGTTGGACTTACCTTTGTCACTGGCTTTGATCTTGAGGGTGAAGTTCTTGTTCTGAGAGTTGGCTCTGAGGGGCCGCCTCACCACAATGGTGCCGGTGGTGCTGTCGATGTCAAAGTGACCTTCACCACCTTCCACCAAGGTGTACTTAACCTCACCATTCAGACCTTTGTCCCTATCAACAGCAGTCACCTTTGGTAGGAAAAAAAATGAAGTAATCATTGTTTTTCATCTTCAGTGATCAGATCACAAGTGAAATACTGCATCAACTAAAACGGATGTGCAGCTACAGTACTTCAAAGGTTCAATTCCCATCCAACTCAGATTCCCTTATAATGTATTTTATATTTTGAGTTCAAAAAGGTAACATTATGCTATTTTGAAAACCGTAGAATTGAACACTGACATCTGTCTGCTTACCTGTCTGACAACTTCACCAATATTAGCATCCACTTGAACGATGGCATTGAAGAGGTGATGCACAAAGACCGGCACGTTATCATTGACGTCCAGAATCTCCACGTGCACAATCACATGGGCCATGCGAGGGGGATCCCGCATATCTCGTGCCTGTTAAGATTGAGATAGAGCATTAAAATTAGCTGAAAGTACAACACAGCACAAGGTTACCAATCAAAATGACTCATAAATCAATACCTTCAAACTGGTAATTGGCTCTGCTTGTCAAAAAGAATGATGTGCTGTATTTCCACAAAGAAGCCGAGTAAAGCAGCTAAATGTACAAGTCATGAGCACCAAAGTTTTTACAACAAGGAGCATATCTTGAATCCAGTACACATACAACGGATGAGACATAAACAGTACAATTCAAGACTTTTGTCCTTTTTTAATACCTCCACTACGACATTGTACTGGTCCTGTTTTTCTCGGTCAAAAGCCACGCCGGTGTTCCTCAACACTCCTGAAGTGGGGCGGATGTCAAACATGCCATCTGGGTTGAGGATGGAGTAGGTCAGGGGTTCGTTCAGTCCATTGCCCAGCACGTTCAGGAAGGCCAGGTCTCGCACTGTGGTGTCATTCTCCTGGATGACCGTGTAAATGTCGTCCAAGGCAAAGCGCAGCTCTGAGGCAGTGCGGGGCACAGCTTGGATGGATACCTGATGGGAAGAGAAGAGTAAGCTACATGTTTAAAAGAACAAATTGATTGACATCTAAACAAAGGCTTTGCATACTTTGAACTTCTCTTTTGACCTCTTTTTTGATAGAAACCTTAATGTGATTTTCATTTTAAGTCAAAATATCAGAAACATACTCAGATTGGAATGCTTTGTATGGTATGTGAAAGGTCCAAACTATCTTTTTTTTCCTATTTGAAAAACAGAATCTCTTCAACAAGCAGAGGAATCAAATTCCAAGTTGTTATATTCATGAGGGTAGGTGACAATTACCTCTGCATAACCGTAGTACAATCCATCAGTTACACGAACGCCAAGCTCGTAGGTTCCTTGGATATTTGAGCTATCAGCGACAACAAGGACCCCGGTGGTGGCATCTACAGTGAATTCCTTGCCCTGATTACCAGTGATAATGGAGTACTCTAGCTGAGAGATGCTGACAGTGTCTAGGTCCACGGCTTCTAAGGTCAGGACCGTCACCCCTTCGAAGGTTGGCAGAAGGAGGTTGGCCTCAAAGATGTCTAGGGTGAACTCTGGTGGTGAGTCATTGATGTCGACTATGTGGATGGTGACGTGGGCTGGACTGGCTGCCCATAGCTCGGGTTCTCCAGAGTCATGGACCTGAACGCTGAAGTCAAATTGCGAAATGTCTTCGTGGTCAAGAGCCATACGGGTGCGGATAGCACCAGTGCTAGGGTCAATCATAAAGTACTTCTGGGCATCCGGCTCCACAATCTCATAAACAAGCTGGGCATTGCGATCTGAGTCAGTGTCCAGGGCAGCAATGACCAGGGGCTGGTTAGCTGCATCCAGGACTACGCTGGATAATGGTGCCGACTCGGTTATACTGCCCTCATAGTTGGTGGCAGTGAAGAATGGCGGGTTATCGTTGACATCCTGTACGTGGATCAGCACCTGGGTTGTGCAGCTCAGTCCAACCATGTTAGTGGCCTCTAGGGTCAGGTTGTAGTACATCTGCTCCTCAAAGTCCAACGAGACCTCCGTGGTGATCACGCCTGTGTTGGCATTCACGTCAAACCGCCGGGCATGGTTGCCGTCCAGGATTCGGTAGTACACTGACGAGCGGCTGACGGCCACCACCTCCATCACAAACTGGTTGGGCCGGCCATTCTCCATCAGCTCCACAATGTGCTCAGCCTGGGAGAACTTAGGTGGGGCATTGTTGGACAGGGTGACAGACACGGTGACAGTAGTGAAACTACTAAGAGAGGGAGCGCCATGGTCTTTAGCCTTGACAGTCAAGTCATAGATGGCCTTCTCTTTGCGGTCCAGCTCCTTTCCCACAGTGATAATACCCAGGATTGGGTCAATATTAAAAGCTTCACCAATGTTGCCTGGCAAAGAAGAACACAATACTCCAAATTATTCAACAGCTCATTATTGCTTTTCTAACCGTAACCCCCTGGATCACCTGTGTGAAAATCACACAAACTTGAAGGATTAAGGACTGTGTTAGACTCTGCCAGCATTTATACAGAGATGTTTTTTATCTCTACAAACAAGTGCAAATGGTAAATCCTGGAATCCAGGCCTGAGATTGAGAACAGTAATCCTGAGTTCTCATTAAAGAGTAAGAGTAGCACATCACAAGAGGACTTAGTATTGAGAAGAGACTACTGTTTGATTCTGAAGTCAATACACTCTCCGTTTACACAGGACAAGGAAAAGCAGATAAGTGAGATCCAACTTTTTTTCCAGTGTGCATGAAATCTATCCTCACAAGTGCAAAGGAGACAGTTTTTGAACAACTCACAAGGAATGTTCAACTGTTGAGAATTTACTTCAAAGGATTAAGAGGACAAGACAGCTACAGAAGATGCACACTCCTTGCACACAATGATTACCCACTTGCATTGCATGTATCTTTTAAATTCATGATTGGAAACACTGTGTATTTGGCACTTGTTTCAATGCTTTGTCAATACACATTTATATGAAGGAGAACGGGCAGAATCATGCACAAAGCTGCCTCTGTAATGCAAGCAACTACATATGATATGACAGATGCATTCACTTCATTACATGACATTAGTAACTATGTGTGTCATATGGGTAAATAGCTCTCTCAGTCCAGTTGTCTGTAAAATGCTATGGTCTACAACACTATGGTCTGTATGGATATTCCATTCATCAACACTGCAGTCCATCACTAGTTGTATGGATACACAAGGAATTCTATGACACACATACATGTTGGTATACACTGTGGATGCAGCATTTCTTGTTAAAACCTAACATTATGAATTCAGTTCAAAACTGTTACGCCTATGTCCCTAATGGAAGATTCATAACTTTTAATTGAATTTTTCTATTTCTTCAAATGGGTCTTCCAGTCTCATTTTATTTGTATCATTTGTTAATGTAACAATTGAAAGAAAAGAAAACCAACTCATTTCTATTTACGAGTACGTTTCAGCATGAGTTGCATGAAAGAATGAAGCGGGTTAATGTAAAGAGGACAACAACACACTGGGTAGGAATATTAAAAATAAAACTGAGGCCCCTGTCAAGTCAAGGTGTTCAGTGGTGAAAGGCCCAGAGGAAGTGCTACTCCACCACAATTTGCAGTAATATCACCAACCTGAACTTTCACCATACATGTACACCATCCAGTTGTATAATATTTGCCATTTGACAAAATAGAGTAACTCCCCAATTAAATTGATCAGGGACACAGACATGAGTGGAAAAACCCGCAGAATTTTATACATTAGTATGAGAATGAGAGACATGCACGCATCAAAAATGTCCAGGAAAAGTGTTCAAAATGAAGCAAACCTTGCGGTCTGTCTTGCCTGTTGACTGTTATTAAACACACAAGAAGGGGAAAACAACAAAAGAATGATCAAAGAGAATTCCATGAGGATGATAATACACAGGGGGAAAATGAGATCATGGAACGCACATAGTCAGAATGTGGAATCGATATGAAAATACATGTACTTCTCTAGTTTCAAATTGGAATTTTTTACCTGTCTATAAACCAACCTTCATTGCTTACTCCAGGAAAACATTTGCTCCCTAAAGAACTTAGAGTTGATTTTAATGACAAGTTATTCAGCTTCTATGTACTACCAGGGTACCTCACTACAGGAAAATCATTGCAACATTAGCCTTCGCAAAGAGCAAGAACTTGCCACTGAAGCCAGGAGGTTATTTTGTCCCACAAGGTTTTCATCGTGTTAGCAGGGGGGGAGGTCAGGAAAGTTTTATGCTATTACAATGATACCAACAAATGGGGAACCCTCAGCAATCACAGAACATTCTCTGTGCCCTAGCTTTTCCAGAATGTGCCACATGAATGACACACAGCACAAAACCACACAGAGGAGACCTCTCCCCTTCACTTCCTTGAAACCCCCTGGATTATACCTTTGCCAAGTACTTACATGATGCCCATTCCACTTACATCTAACAAAAGAAGTATTGGGCAATAACAATGGATGCTCACTGTTAATGCACTGTGTTTCTTTGATAGGAAGCAGCGCGACCCTGGATGCTTTTGTAGCAGTGACAAATTATCCCCCCTTTTAATCAACATTGTCACAGTACTGTGTGTGTCTGCCTTTTTCCCCTGGCAATTACAAGAGCAAATTCATTACATGCTGATTTTCAGTGGCTTCATGCACTGAATGAACAGAATGTTTGCAGATTAGAGCTAGTCATACAGCCATCTACTAGGTAGGTTCATTACAGTGAGAGAATGCTCTGCGTGTACTTTGTTGTGGGATAGTGACAGCCATTTATGTGGAGGGTTGAATGACCTTAACAATTGAAGGAGCACCTTGCTGGAAAAAAGGGAGGCTTGGCACTGAGCTCTCTTTGAAGGTAGAGGTATCAATGGACTTGATAATCCAACAATGTACCTTGGTTTGGGGGTCAGTTCTAGGGCTGACAAGTTTTAACTTGTTTGTGCTAAGATTTGAAGGGAACACTAGCACACTTTTAGTGATAATGAACATTTTCTAAGATGATGGATGTATAATACACAAGGTTAAAAGTCAAAGAATGATGACAATTATTTCACTGGCGAGAACTTCCAAGAAACCCTGGTTTAGGTAAACTCGCATTTTCTAAAGAGAATCTCTGCATGTTCTGATTGTATATGTAACTTTCAGTGAAAGAGTGATAAGGTTAAGAATGATGATAATGATTCATATGAGAAAACTTCAAAGATATCTTAGTTTAGGGTAGACAAATTGAATCTACGCAGATTCTAATAGTTATTGATAAAGTTATAGATTGAATCTGATCAATTTTTACACTTAAGCAAATCGTGTCCTGATATAATGATGCCAGATATGAAGTTGGAAATTCAATTTTGGTTAACTCCTCTTGTCTTTATGATGTCATACTTCTTGAATGATTGATTCAAATAGGAAGGGATGAGCAGGCTAGGGTACCAATCAAGTCTCACCTGATATGATGGAATACGTAACCTCAGCATTCGTTCCTTGGTCTTTGTCGTACGCATATACCTGAGTAATCTGCGTTCCCACAGCAGCTGTCTCAAAGACCCGCCCCTCATAGGCAGAGGCACCAAACTCTGGGGCGTGGTCATTGGAGTCCAAGATGTTGACCACCACCCGGGTGTAGTTGCGGTGAGTGACTAGGGTGTGGTCCTTGACCTGGATGGTTAGTACATGCCGGTGTCGCATCTCGTGGTCCAGTGGGGCAATGGTGGTCAGCATGCCTGTCTTGGAGTGGACCCGGAACATGGACAGGCTGGTCTGATCAGCCGCACCTTTCAGGGAGTAGGTCAGGCGGTCGGAGCGGTCCCGGTCACTGGCCCGCACCTGCAGGATCTCCATGCCAATGGTGGTGTTCTCATAGATGTCCACGGTGTATTTCAGCTGCTCCAGGAGGGGTGGGTTATCATTGGCATTCAGGACTGAGACACGTATCTGTCAGGGGGTACACATTCAAACCAAAAAGTCCACAACAAAATCAATCACACCACTCACAATGGAAAAGTTCATTTTTACATTCAAATACCTCTCACATAAGCATTTTATGCATAGATGAGGTGTAATTGTAAAGGGCGTTTCAGTGGAATTGAATTTTCATGTCATTTTACATCATCTGGGAGATCCCTGCACTATCCAAAAGAGCACTCTTCCAGAGAAAAGTTTTTATTTTAGAGAGGCAAGATTTTGAGAAGTTGTAAGGTTTGTGAAAGTTTGGAAACTGGAAAGGGCTGATTGGGCCCCTTTCTTTATTTCCAAATTAAGTGATAAAAAATTGTACATTTTTAAAGTTAAAATATTTAAACATCTCTAAATTTAAAGGAGGAAATGGCAAACATACAGTCTGAGTGACTTCATGGAATCCGTCTGAGACAGCAATAGTCAGATCATATGTCAACTGCCTCTCAGCATCAAGTTTGGAAGCTACGAAGATGATGCCACTCGATGGCTGCATGAAGAAATTGTTGTTATCATCACCAGCTACAGAAAAAAAACAAAGCATCATCAACAGATTATCAAATATAACTACTCTTATGGAGATTTGGCCTCAGTGAGAAAAAGAAGAGTAAAAACATTTGAAATACTGATTAAAGAACTCAATTAGTTGAATCTTAAAATAAATCACTCTGCCAAATGCATAAAACAGATGGGCGTCTGAGTGTATCCATTACTTTTATGCTTAAGTGCCCAACAGGAAACCTTATTATAAAAGTCTTTGTACGTTTTTACCAAGACAATCATCAGTGCCATCCAATCACCATCTTGACAAGATGATTTGTGAAGTTACGACGAGCAAAAAATGTACAAGAATCAAGTGAACGTAAACTGAAGGATGTATGCCATTTACCTTTGATGCTATACCAAAGGTCATCATCATCTGGGTCATAGGCAAAGATGTTGGTGACGAATGTCCCAAAAGGATCTTTCTCCGATACAGCACCGTCCATGGCGTCCACTATCATGGGAGGGTTGGGGGACTCAGCCACAGGTGCTGAGATCAGAATGACCAGCCGGAATCTAGCCCACTGCTGGGTTGGCCGGCCATTGTCAAGTACCTCCAGCTGTTGGGGAATTGGCAAGACATAAACAAAATTTCTTCAAAATAGTTTCTCTTTCATTTCAGGATTGCAAAAACTATGTGGTGAGTAGTAACCCACGGAGATTAGATCAGGTTATTATAGTAGACAAATAGGGGCTTATTCCTTGGAGCTGCTCAGGGTAGAATGTCATGAAGCACTGAAACATCTGCCAAGTAACAGTAGGCTGCAGGTCAAAGTGTCATGAAATATGTAGCACTTCTTACTGATCAAATCTGATCTTACTGACTGATCTTACTGTCAAATGATTTCCACTGAGCAGTGTTTTGGCTAGGATTTAAAAAGTGGGAGTGCAAAATGAAACACAATTGTAGCTCAGATTTTATTTTCACATTTTTCGGGATCTAGATTACGCAAGCCTCAAATTAAGTAGTGCACGGCTTGATTTGCACCACCAGGCCGTGCTTGAAAAATGAGCTGTGATTTCACAAAACTGGCCATGCAAAACACAGCTGCATGGCTCGCTAGCTAAAACGCTGCCACTGAGTATTCTGATTTGCTGAGAATAATGTTTTCCCCCATCAGGGCTAAATCTTCTGATTCCTACATAACTGTATACACACTCTTGGGAGTAAGGTTTGATAGTACATGTACCTTGTGGTTTAAAAAAGTTAGGCCAAAGGCAGTGAACTTCGTTCACTTTTCTTCATTCAGAAATCAGAGACGGCAAAAAAATCTGTTGATAGTCTACCTTGGTCGGTGTTTTAACAGTGATCAAGCCCAGTGTCCCCCCCTCCCAAAAAATGAGCACCCCCCTCAAGTGCCTCTCTGTAAGAAGTAAACCAGTTACACGACAATTTGTTTTTGCATTTGCACATGTACTCACCACTAGATTATACTGGTCTCCTTCCATCAGCAACTTGGTGGTTGAGATGATGCCTGTGGTAGGATCAATGTCAAACTTGCCAGCGTTGTTTCCCTCCCGGATGTAATAACTTAGCTCCCCGTTCTCACCAATGTCTTTATCCGAGGCCATTGCCACGTAGATGATGCGGGGCTCATCTGTGCGATCCTGGGCCGGTACGTTGATGCTGACCAGGGCACCCTCATTGAATGTTGGCGGGTTGTCATTCTCGTCCTGGATGTGGACGATGACGTGGGTGATGGCACTCTGGGAAGGACTGCCATTGTCATGAACAGTAATCTGCATGGAGAGTCAGAGAGTTCCACCATAGTTATGACACGTGTGAACCGACCATGACTGCAATGCAAATTGTTATACAAAGTCTCTTAGATGTGACAGACCTCAACTGCAGAGTTAACTATGTTCATGCCTTGATATGCACACATTTGCTGTTTCTGACCCTCCAACAACCTTAGAAAATCTACCGGTACCAGGAGGATTGGATGGATTTTCCTGTGTGGAGGAAGATATAGACCACACGCTGTAAGTTTTACTTTACATGGAGTTGATGGTCATTTGAAGTACAAAGAATTTGTCAATAATTTCTTGCAGAAAGATTGATTAGGGAGGAATCTTGAAAATCCTACCAAATACATACATGTACATGTATGCTGTGTTCGTGTTCATGTATAACAACGCTACATCTGGTGGAAATTCCAAATAATAATGCAGATTAAGCTCCACAATGTAAGCCTTCCTTTCCTGCTTAGAAGCTCAATGGAATTGAGCAGGACATTCCTCAAAAATGGCTCCCTGAATGACAATATTTAAGGGCCTGTCAACTGGAGTGCCAGGAGCCGTCCATCAGGCAGAGAGGGCTGAGCAGTTGCAAGGCAGTTGGCATGCAACCACCAGCAGGGTGAGAGGGTCGTGGGGGAAAGACACAAAATATCTCCCAGGAGAAGAGGCTGGCTTTCATGCTGGGGTCAGGGAGGCCACTGTTTGCTTAGGGGAAGTCCTCAAAGGGTGTGAAGTGTGCAAAGGGTGATGACTAGGGTCCCTTCAATCGGGTGCACAGAAGAGAAGAATAAAGGACCTTTCTAGTGCCAAAAAAATTCAGGGTACAATTGAAGAGCCCTCTGTATGTTGGCAACACAAAATCTGATTCAAATTCAAAACCTCCCCGAATACTTGAGGAAATTCTCATGCATAGAAATCAGCAATACATAGTCACTAGCACTAGCAGGGGACCACACACAATTATGCCACGGGAAACAAATTAACGTGTGGAACGACATCTTAGAAAATCAGTCAATATAGTAGGAACATAATGGAACTAAAAATGCCATCAATTTATGAACACAATTCAAACATAACTCATTCCACCAAATATAGGTAGCTGCAGGATACGTGCAGAGAGAAGACCTGTAATTTTTGAGGAGGTGATACATTCCAAAACACCTGTCTGACAAATTACCAAAGCAAACTTCTTTCTACAAAACAGCCACAGAAATATAAGCACTATGAAACAGTTCAGTCCAGAAAAGAAAACACTTTGTAGCCTCACAGAAATGACACCCCAGGAGAGAGGAAGAAAAAATACAAGGTCAGCTATAGATAATTAACCTCAGGAACCATAAAGCTGGGAAAGAGAATCATTAACCATTTTCCAGGGAACGAGGGGGCAACGTTATGTCAATAGTGTTGACACAGGTGCACTGGGATGCACAGACATCCAATATTAAGCCAGCGTGAGATTAAGCCCATCATCTATGACACTAATAAATAGGAAAGAAGGTTAATTTTTGAACAAGCAGGAACTGTAAGGCTAGGGATCATTTGAAAGATTGGCTGAAATGGGTGAATTGTTGTCAATGCTTTTCATATTTCTGTTTTTGTTGTAACTGATGTAAATGGATGTATACAGTAGTAGCTGGTCAACAATGTAAAATGCAGTAACTAATATACAATGTATAACATCCAATGTGTAGGTTTTCCAAACTACAAACTAAGCAGACCTCACAACAAAGCAAATCTTCCTGCATAGGAATGTAACAAAAATAAACAAAAAGAAAAAACACAGATCAGCACCTTCACTTCATGAATAATTTTCTGTCACTCAGGCAAGCTTTAATGCATAAATGCTAGTGCTAGAAGGCGTCTAGAGTCACATGTATAATTATGGAGGTGATTTCTTTTACCCCCTTCGGACAAGCAATCCTGTGAATTTCCGGGCGGACTCTGACGACAATCATCCCACAGCGAAAACATATCATTACTTCCAATCTTAATGAATGTAATAGCTTGTGGACACTGCACAGCTAGCCTGGTTATACACTTGCCCCATATGCTGGGCCAGATTGTATTTACACATATAATCATAATGTAGGGAGTAAATGTACTGTACACGTAGGCCGTAGGCCGCAGTGGGCCATAAGTAGATGGGGAAACTGTATGACCCGAAAGGCAAGCACCGTTAACATTTTTGGCAGACAGTAGGGTAATTTGCCCAAGGTTTGCAATGACAGATCTCAGGGGATTTCAACATTTTGCAGAGGGAGAGACTTCAACTTGGAGAGGCCGGAAATATAGGTTAAAATCAGTTTACTTGAGATGATTTTCGCACACTTGGGTGTTTCATGTTCTCCCCCAAACCAGCTGTCAGGGTAACTTTTGAGGAAAAACCAGAGGTAACTGCAAGAAGACTCTGGTAACCTCATTACACAAATTCAATCACATTATGTCCAGTGATTAAAAGCAAAACCATATAATCTGTCATGCCGCCTTCCCTCACACAAGCCACTCAAATGTTTCTGCCTTTCAAATCACATATTTCATTGAACATTGTGGTTCTCAACTGGATTCTTTCCAATCTACTTGTACAATTTCAAACATGATTAAGTACAGAATTTGTTTATTATTTGGCTGTAATCTACTTTACTGCAAGAAAGCACTGTGCTTCTAACATATTTTGAAATACATGTACAAAAAACGATGACATAAACCGGCATGTTATTACCCCACGCAACTACAACTTCTTCTAAATGAATATTTAAAAGAACTGTGAAATACAAACTTCATGATCCATAACTTCCAAGGTCCCATAAATGACAGGGTGATTATTAACACTAAAGGTGACTGAAACGTCATCCAAGTCAGAACAATTTTGTTATTGCAAATACGACCGGTGAGGTTCAGGTATTGTGTTTACAGGGTGATGTAACTTTCATGATTTTCATTTTATGATGGTTAACAATATGAGATGAGTGAAAAAATATTTATATCAGGCCAATTTCATAGCTTTGATGTTGGTCAACCTTGGAAATTGATGACTATCAACATCACAATCACGCAAAGGACTTTTAAAACAAGTCCAATTTACAGGCCTTTCATAGGCAAACTCACGCAAAACAAACAAAATTCTCAATTAGTCATTTTCTGGTGCAAAAAAATGTTAGGAATGCTTTTCAACCCTCTTGAAACAGTCATGCCTATTTCCCTGCAACAGTGGGGCTCCACCCTAATCATTCTCCTACCAGCAGCTAAGTTTGTGGTCAGCACCAGGAATGACACAGCTGGAAGATAATAAGCATTCTGCATAGATATAAGGCACCACTCATGTGCCGTGTGATGCTTTACTAAGGCAAGGAGAGCTCACAATAAGCAGGAAACTTGTTTTGGCAGAAACACATTTAAACATCTACTGGTATTTCTTCTTATGGATTTTGAAAGCCAGAACCACTACAATTGTTCAACTTCATATACACCTCTAAATATGTGACATGCTGATCAACTGGACAAGCTGTGACTAGGCCTTTTGAAACTGTTTCAAACATGTATTTTTTTTATTTGTATCAACAGAAACTTCAAGAGTGGAAACTATAATGCTCAATTCGATACAGATGGAGTGGCTTGCATTGCATTATTGTAGTCATTATTTATTAGAGTCATTCGGGAGATAAATAGTAACTGCAAGTATTTCAGACCTCTTGCAGCGGAAATGGACAGATGTATGACTTGTACCATTCCCTGCCAACAGGCCTGCAATGGTACCAAAAATAAATCCCTCCCAAGTCAATTGAAGATGATGCCTAGCACGTACCAGGTGCTCATGACATGTTTATGGTAGGAATACTTTTTGTCCTTCTGTTATCGTTTCGCATGCACCCTCTTGTGTATGCACACAGAGTACATGTACATTGTACATCATCGCTGCTAACACTGCACCTCCAGCCTCCTTAACCTCGCTAAGACACTGTGACCAATTTTCACTGGGGTAGGTCGTCGACCCATACTTGAGAACACAAACATTTCAAAAATGATACCAAAAGTACCCGGTACAATTCTGGGCCCGAATTTGTCGGAGACTTTTTTTCAGGAGTATTTTAATGAACAGCAATACTTCTGCACCGAACTGGTACCAAAACCTGAATAAATGAGGCATTAACCCCTGAATTCATTAACCCAAAGACTGATAAATTACCCAGCTACACTTTTCTGGTTTCGGTCCCTCAAGCCTTGCTACTTTTTTTTTATTCCCCTGCCTTGGCCCCGACCAATTAGTGGTATCAGTCTGGCGGATAGAAGCAACAATAGGGCTTCCAACAACACTGTACATGTATATGTCTGACAGTACTCATTCACTACTACCTTGCCACTGGCTTCAACAGCAATGTACTCTGTGTTAACTTGCACCACTAGTGATCAAATACTAATTAATGTAATTACTTGACAAAAAACTGTGTATGCAAAAGATTCAATCCGATTTGAAGCCAAAGTAACTACCCTTCAACAGTATGACCACAATACACATTTCCTTATACTGCAAAAGCAAACAAAATCCTATGCAAAGGTCAAACTAATTATTTTGGCCACAGAAGGGTCAAAAAATTCAGTGACTAAAATTTACATGAGATATATACCGGTATTTATTTTCCTTGACAAAATAAAACTCAATCTGAATTGAATGTGGTGCCCATTTTACTGAAATAATTTTGCTGTGACAGATAGATTCAATTCATGGATTTTGGTGAGTTCCTCTCCCTTTCCAATGAATACAATTCTCACACATCATCATCTCATGTAATGATTTATGAAACCCAAGAATGTTTTAACCTAAAATGCCTGAGAATTCTCTCTCTTCCCTGAAGCCAAGTAGGGTTATTAACAATTTTGGCCTGTTGCAACTTGGCAGGCAACTCCTCCACTTCACCACGGCAACAGAAAAATCCAATTACACTCGAAGATGCCCCCAGAGCTGTTCGGAGGCCAAACCATCAATAACCTGGAACTTAAGCAGC